AAGGCATGTACAGAATTTAAGTTACTGCTACAACAACAAAATGAAAACACACCTCTACTTTTGGTTCAAGATGTGCCTACTCGCTGGAATAGTGCGTACTTGATGTTAGAGCAACTTCAAAAACTTAAAAGAGCAGTTCAAATGTATTTAGCTGATCATAATGAATTGCCAACATTTGCATCAAATGATTGGAAATTCATTGAAAATTTATTATATGTTTTAAAGCCTTTTTATGAACTTACTAATGCTATGAGTTCTGAACTTTGTAGTTTATCAACAGTAGTTCCGAATATATGTACTTTACAAAGATTTTTATCAAAAATTGATCAAAAAGATGATGCAGTTCAAATAACAAATCAACTTATAGAATCTTTAAATAAGAGATTCTTTTCTCATGATAATCTCAATATAACAGATGATGAAAGATATGTTTTACCCACCATTATTGATCCAAATTTCTTCCTGTTGATAAGAGAGCACAAGCAAGATCAATGCTATTAGATGCTGTAGTAAAAAATCAAAGAAATATAACTGGACTTTCACCAGTTGTTATTAATAGAGCTACCAGCTCCACCGCCACTATCTCCAATCATTTAATGCCAAATTCCAAAAAAAAAAAAGTTGATTTGGAAGAGAATGACTTTAACTCCTGCCTTTTAGAACTTGCAGAGTATGAAGGAAATTTAGGTAAGAAGATCTCTTTCTGTTTATTAAAAAAGTTTTTTAATAATTTTAAAAACTTTTTTGATAAACAGAAAAACTTTTAATTTAGTTTTTATTTTTAATATTAGCTATATTCTACATGTTGTTGGTTTGCTGATTTAAGTACTATATACATTTTATTGAATAAAAATGTATAAATAAATAGTCTTTAGTATTTAAATTGTTTTATATTACAGAACAAAATAGTAAAACAAATCCTGATCAAGTCTCGCTTGTAAAAGCTGCTCAAGAAGTTGATTTTTTCTTTAATCACTCGATTATAGAAAAAAAAGAAGACGTTTTTAATTACTGGAAACATGAAGAGAAGTTTCCACTTCTAAAAGAGTTAGCTCTTAAATTATTAGCACCTCCAGCATCCTCTGTATTTTCGGAGCGATTGTTTTCCGAATATGGAAATATTTTCGAGAAAAAGCGATCGAGGCTGTTACCTCAATGTGGAGAAATGTTACTATTTATTCATCATAATGGAAATAAATTTATAAATGAGTGATAAACTGATGTGTTTGTTGCATTTAAATTTAATTGTATTTGAATAATAAATTATTATTAATAATAATAACAATTTTGAATAGAAACCATTAACATTAGAATATTTAAAAATATAATATTTCTTGGTTTATTAAATCTTTAAATTTCAACTTGAAATATCCAGTTTATCGAAAACCGGATAATGTTATTATCTGGCCAGATAACGGATATCGAATAATATTGATATCCGGCCGGATAGCTTATCCGGGACACCTCTAATATATATATATATATATATATATATATATATATATATATATATATATATATATATATATATATATATATATATATATATATATATATATATATATATATATATATATATATATATATATATATACAGAGAGTGAGTGAGAGTGAGAGAGAGAGAGAGAGAGAGAGAGAGAGAAACTGATAGATAGATATAGATAAACAATAGTATACTAAAACAAATTTATTGAATTTAATGTTCAAACAATGTACTTATATACAAAAAAATTAAATTTTTATTTTAAATTTATTTTTTTATATTTATTATTAATTTAAATGTTAAACGTATTGTTCAAAAGCTATTAAAAAGTTAAAGTTATTTTTAAATGTTTAGGTGTACAGTTCTCATTTATATATTTATATTACAAATAAGTTAACACTTTCAAGTTAACATTTACTTCAAAAAATATTACAATCTTTGTTGTACTTGGTGTAGTTAAGGCACTTTTAAAATATTATAGCGTCTGTATGATATTTTGTTGACTACGACATATTTCCGTTAAATGGTCTGGTCTGTGAATTATAAAAAGACGAAAAGTATTAAAATGATAAATTTTGCGGAATCATAAAATATAAATGTTTGTAGCGAAAAAACCCAGACCGAAGATTCTTTTTTTTTTTTAAATTATCTTAAAATCACAATTGCTCGTTCAAATTTATTAATACGTTTTTTAGGTAAAATGAACATTAAAGTTTAAGAATTAGATCTGTTCTGATCGTTTATTGGTAATTTTCCATAATTATAAGCTCTTTCTTGGTCAGAATTCTAGTATTTTTTGTGAAAATTGATAGAAATATTGTGTTTTGACAACTATATATGATTAATATACGTCAGAACCGATTAGAACTAAGATCAGTAGTAAATTAAGAAACTTTTTCAAAAAATTGTAACTAAATTCATGTTAATGCCGATGAGCGGAATTGATCTAAAGACTCCAGAATAGTATTCTTTAGATTCACTATTAAAAGGTTTTGAAAAATATATAAAAAAAAAAAC